ATAACATTATCTTAAATAAGTCTACTATCTACAAAAGCCCTTTGTTGCTCAGAAATATATTTACTCATCAATTGTTTCATCCTCTTAGTCATAATTTTAAAAATGATTTTATAAGAAACATTACACAAGCCAATAGGATGAAATTGAGTAACACATTTAGCTTTGTCAATTTCAAGAACTAGAACAATAGGTTAAGTCAATTGCCTCAATGTCATAATTTCCATTAAAGAAATCAATAACCACATCACAAACCTCCTTATTTATCACTATCCATGCATATTGATAGAAAAGAGCCGTATAATCGTCTGGTCTCGGGGCCTTAGTTGATCCTAAGTCAAAGACAGCACTTCAGTTTATTGGTCAATAATTGACATGGTTAAAGATTCATTTTCCTCCTTTGAAATCACGTACTCTTCACATATTGAAGAACTCCTGATAACGATATTCACAACTCCATTAGTGCCAATTAAAAATTGCTAAAAAAAATCTCAATGACAAATAAGGTCCATGGAAATTATAAACAATTCTCCTATAAGAAAATTAATCTTGCATTACAAAAAATATATATTTTATTATTGATGAAATTAGCAACAAAAAATTGTTCCATCGCTAATTTTCAATGAATTACTGATGAAATTCTGTTGCTAAATTTAGTGACGGATTAACAATAGAATTTTTTTTTGTTGCTAAATTTTGTCGATAACTTGTCAAAAAATTTGTTAGTAAATATTTAGCGACAAAGTTAACAATGAAATTTTTCTATCTAAAATTTCTGTCACTAATTCAATCACTAAATTGTTTGCCATGAAATTTTCTATTACTAATTTCGTCACCAAGTCTATTCCATTACAATTCCATTGCTAATTTTAAAATTTATTATTTTAGATTATGATCCTACAATAATTTATAAAATAATATAATTAAAAATATAATAATTTAAATATATTTTCAATTGTAAAATAAATTGATATATTTGTGGAGTTAGTGTTAATGAAGGTATCATCATCATTCATCTCATCATTAAATATATACTAAGACAGAAAGACAATTTCCTAGACAACTTATTTATTTTTCATTAAAATTAATTCCTCTTGATTATTAATAATAATTAAACAAATGTGATAGGAATATTAATAAATTTCTTATGTAAATTGATATAAGAAAGACATGATTCTGCTATATATACAATAAATTAAAAGATATAATATATGATAAAATTCAAAACCAAAAAATAAATTTATATGAACATCTCAATTTATGATTATAGATCAAACTAATGTTGAAGTGAGTTTTGAATTTCAATCGTTAAACAATGAAATTTAGTCATAACATAATCAATAACTCATGATATAGACTAATTTTGATCTTCAATGCAAAAACAAATGGTACATACAAAAGTTTTTAAGAAAAGAAATTATATATGATGCACATATAAGTAGGAAAATGTTGTTTATTCCACTATATTCAAATCATTTAAATTTATCATATAGTACAATTTATTAGATTATATTATAATAGTTCCTTTTTTGAATAATTAATTTTTTACTAATTATAAATTTTTTTCATCAAATATATAAAACACATATAGATAATATAACATTATGTTATATAGTACATATATAATTAAATTATATATGTTATCATTGTTAATTAAAAAATTAAATTTAAAAAATATATTCATGAAAAAATTATTTACAATTTAAAATTCAAAATGAGTTTCATTAAAAATTAATATTACATTTAAATATTTTTTAAAAAATTAAATTTATAAAATAAATAGTAAAACAAATATGTAAATATTATTTATCATAAAAATAGTTAAAATTAAAATTATCATATAATTAACTTTTAATTTTTAATGATATATATGTATATATAATTGTTTGGGTAAAAGAATACTATATATATTAATTTTGAATAAAAGTTCAACAGGTTTATTGCAGCTGAATTAGTCAATATGCATACATGTACACGTGAGGTTCTTGGTTTGAGCCATGGAGGAAGTCACTGTGAAAAGGAATCATGTGGTGGAGATGTGAGGTGGTGACACATGGTAATGGAGATGAGGCCATAGCAACATGTGGATGGTAGCTGACAGCTATCACCAATGATAAATATTACATTGTACTAAGTTTTATTATGAGCCTTTAACATGATAAATGTCAATTCACTGTTATAAAAAGAAGCTTGCACAATGCTAATTTACAGCAATTATCAAGCAAAACACTGTTAAAAAATAGCAATAACATTTTTGTAATTATATGAAATTAGAATTTCCTTTTCACAATGATTATCCAGGAAACCGCCGTGAAAAGTATTTATCAGAATTTTAAATCCCTTTTTATCGCATGATAGTTTTTCACTTTTCACAAACAAAGCTCATGGTCTTCCACTATCATTCCCACTCAATTTTCTCCCTCCTCCCACTTTTGTCGGTGTTTTTCTTTTGCTTCTATCATCTCTGCCATGTTCTTCATCACCATTGTGTTACATCAACTTCTTCATCCTTATTTGTGTGTTTTTTGCCCTCTCTCCTCCATTTTTTTATGGATTTCATAGTTTTTGTGGCTTGGTTGTTTGAAAAGATGTGAATTAAAAACATTATATTTGTTACGAGTTCTAATAGATATGATTTTTGTTTCTCTCTTTGCTTAAACATACTTTGATACTTAGAAGTTTGAATAGATCTAATTTTTGTTCCCCTCATTTAGTAGATATGAGATTGACAAAATGAAATTCATGAGTTTTATTAAATTTGGGTCTTTGATTTTACCTTCATCAAATCTTAGTGGTTTCGATTGGGTGGCTGAAGGCTTCAATGCTCTATTGGGAGAATTAAAAAATAAAACATTTCACAAAAGTTATTCATATAACAATGAATAACCACTGTGAAAAATCACATACCATAAACGTTGCTCTCAAATTCACCATGAAAGTTCATTTTAACTATCATAAAATGCCTCTTTTGCAGTAGTGATTAAAACACACACAAATACACACATACACAGAATATCACTTTACTCTTATAATTAGGAATATATCATAAACATAAACAAATGTTTGGCTAGTTAAGGATACAACTCATTTTATAACTGTGAGGATTCAAATCCTACTATTAATACGAGAATCCTATTAGAAGATAATCTATAGATATCTCTGTAGATTATTTTTGAATTGCAACTCCTATCCTAATTTTGGTGAACCACAAGACCAAATTCCCATAAAATTTTAGTTTCTAAAAATAAATGAAATAAGAAAACCAGAGCACACCTTTCCTCATGGGATCATGGAGTATGAGAATTCTGTTTTATTGCTAAAATTTAAATATGTTGAGTAACAGTTACTTATTGACTATTTTAATGTAATTCACTCATAAAAAAGATTGCAGTTTTCAAAGGTTGTAGTTAATATAGTTCAATAAAGGTTTTAAAAAAAAAAAACACAAGAAGAAGAAGAAGCCAAGCTAATGGTATATGAAAGCTTTTAATAAGTGGAAGGTCAACATCTAATCTCATTTATAATTTCAAGCCAATAAGTAAGCATATATTAAAAAGGAAATTAATATATATAATTCAGTCTCTTGTATACTGCAAGCATAACGTTCAAATCGGATTTTAATTATTATTTTTTGAAGCCAACATTTTTAGATTTCAAGATGATGATCTTAGGCATTGAAAATTGAACTGGTCATTGAACCAGTCAAGACAATTATATAACAGTTAATGGTTTAAATTAGAATCAACTCAAGGTCAAATTGGCCCCAACTAAAATAATAAAATTTAAATAACATATATAAAAGATTCATATAAAAGACTGAAAAGGTTAATATTTAAATAAAAATATATTAATTAAAACATTCATGCATAAAACCATATGACATAATCCAACAAAACATAGTTATTAAAGCATACATTTCGGATTATCACAATTATTTAAGCATCTATATATTTCACCTACAACATATACAGTTTACACATAGTACAAAACTAATTTTGTCCAATAAATAAAGAATCAACATCAGCTATTCATAGTGAATTTTCTTATAAAATTATCAACAAATTGTTTGTTAAAATAGTAAGCGGTCTCACCTCATTAGGAGAAGAACATAAGTTAGAATCTCAGGAAACGCATTTGTTAGGAAGGCTTTAGCCTTAACGCTTTTGGGTCAACATAGATTAGCCTCAAGCTTAAAGTGATTTGAGAATACTTTGAGTTATACCAATTTTCTTATAAAATTAAATAACATGCTGATAATATGTTATGAAAATAAGGAAAATACAAGAGAGATTTGGGATGAGAGAGATGAAAAAAGACAAGCGGGATATTGAAGAGAAAGAGGGGAGTGATTCTTATTCCATTTCATGGTACCAAATGTATGCACATCACCTCCATTTATAGGACCGCAACATTATTGAAGACTAATTCAAAGAGCTACAAATATATCAAGAAGAGAGTTAACTACTTAATTGTACAAAATGGAGGTTATAGAGAATTAAATACAAGAAACCCTTCAATTTGAGGGGTTATGGAGTATAATGTCATTCAATATGAGGTGGAAGGTGAAAAGCGTCATTCTCGAATGTTATGGGTGTCCACACAATTATAATACTCATAACAAAGACAACATTTTTAGATTTTATATATGACAATGGTTTTTTAGTATATAAATGAGGTATTGAAAATCAGACCAGTTATTGAACTAGTCAAAACGATGATTTAAGGGCCAGTGGTTTACATTGGGGTGAACTTGACATCAGATTAATCATAATTAAAATGATATAATATAATTAAAATATCTAAAAATTTAATATATAACACTGCACACATAATCTAACAAAACATAGTTACAAAAGCATAAATATGATGGATTTCTATATTTTTTCCCTTTCTCTTTTAAACTCAAACGAGATCGTGTAGGCTCAATTAAAAAACAAAAGAGAGAGAGAGAGATAAAATATAAAATTCAAACTCATTCAAAATTAATTAATTTGGTCAAATGATGACTAAAATAGGAAATATCTTATAACTCCTACTAATGCCTTTTGCTGGAGAAACACTTCTGTTGTAGTTTTAAGAATATCTGATTTAATTAGAAGATACACACACACACACATATTATTGAAGCTGCACAAAATAAAATCTCTTCTGCTGGGAACATAAAGATGAAGTACATCACATAACTCTACCTTATACAACACGAGGAAAATACAAGACATCCGTTCATCTTGCACACTTAATAATGAAAGGGAAGTTATTTTAAGATAAATTATTTATTTATTTAATAACAGATTTTTCTGCGGTAAAAGATTTCAAGTCTTAATTTAATACACACAAGACAGTAATGCAAGCTAATTATAAAAAGAAGTTTTGTGATGGACATGATCTTCAAGAATCACTTCATCACTTCCCTGCAATATTGAAAGCAGATAAGCCAAAATTAATTATATAGATCCAAAATCATTGTTATCTCACAAAACGTCCATATTCATGCCAAAATAAATTATGAAATTGAAAAGTTGATAAAAATAACCTGTAAGATAACTATGGCTTTTGGTTCAATTGATTTTGACATGTATATAAAGGGTGTTTAGATATTCTTTAAAAAATCATGGTTTTGACTGACAAATCTATTTTTTATCCTCCTAATTTAATAGATTAAGTTTAACATACTTATTATCATATATCATTGGCCACTAAAATAAAAACTAAAATAGACCAACTAATTTAACCAAAGAAGCAAGTAATCTAGCCCCTGATCCAGTCCAAAACGTTTCCAGAATCACTTCCATATTTAAACTACTCAAAACCACAAATAAAACAAATTTAATTAATTGAAATCTATCAATAGTTGATAAGACTAATTCTTTTATTTTTATATAATATCATCGAAAAATTAATTTTATTAACCTATTTCATCAAGTTCAATGATTAGTGTGATTTTCAAAACTATCACATGATACTGGACATATATATAAAAAAGAATATAATTAAGATAGCAAATGTGCAGCTTTTTGGTTGTCTATTCGACCTCTTTCTCAGTATATTATCTACATATCAGTGCATCTTTCTCTCTTTCTACATAGAGAGACAAAGAAAGTGATACTGTAAGGGAGGAAACATAAGTGTTATATACTTGATATACTTGTTTCCACTGGAATCAACACAAATGACTTTTGAAGTTTCTAAATATTATTCCTTTCAGTTTTATATGTAAGATAAATTTTTTAGGGATGATTTATTCCTAATTATAAGAGACACTAAGAATCTATTTGAAATTTTAGTATCCAAGTTTCCTTATGTTATAATTTCGAATCTACAACATAAAATCAAACGTTTTACTTGATTATACATAGGACAGCCAAGTGTGTCTATATATATATATATATAATCCACTATGCTACATTGAAGCTGAATGAAGGTTAGAGATAACGAGAATACCTGGACACTGGGGTGATCTGAGGCCACACTTAGAGGGTAAGGCGAAGACATTCTTTGGGTCAATCCCAAGTGAAGGCAGCACCGACCTGTATTTGCAGAGGCACGGCAGATTGGCGTGCCTGACCACTGCACAGCACGCCTGCGTGGGTGGTGGCGGGTTCCTTCCGGTGACGGCAGCACGACACAAGTTGAGCTTAGTGGAGTCTGTGTTGCACAGCACGACACCTTCGGCTCCACCACCCAACATGCCCATGGCCATTAGTATGGCTGCTAACAAAACCACAAAGACCTTCACGAGTTTGATTGCCATGCTAAGGTCTTCTTATGGCTTTTTCTATGATGATTGAGTTTGTGCGATTGCCAATTAAATGGTGAGATCTATATATATAGGAAAGCTTTGGAGTCTCAATTATATGTTTGGTGAACTGAATGGAGAAATTTGGAGAGGAGAATTTCAACTTTCTTTGTGCCGTGTTTTGTATTATATTTATATTATATATTATGAGGAAAGTTAAGAGCAACTTCTGCGTTTGTGGATGCTGAGTTGAAAGCGTCAATAATACACGCACAGGGCCCAGTTGGGTGTCACTGTTTGTTTGTTAGTCTATTAGTCAAGTAAATACCTCCCTAGAGAAATTTAAAATGAGTCCCACTACTGATAGTTTGCAATTTTTTATAAATTATATATATAGATTACTATGTAAATTTGTTCTAAAAGTTTTCACTTAGGATGTGGGGTACCCAAAAGTTTTTTCTAGTATGAATTTGCTCTAAAAGTCTAACATCATAGCAATATTGTCCTTACCATTAAAAATATTAATGGTTAATGTTATTATTTTAACAGTGAATATTAGCTTTTTAATAGTAGAAAGCAACATTTCTTATGATTTTAAACTTCCAAAATAAATTTATACAAAAGAAAAATTTCAGGTATTCAACAATTCTAAGTAAAACTTCCCTACAAATTTACACATTCGCCCTAAAAGTATTTGTTGGGTTTGTAGTGATCAAAAGTCGGTATTAGTGTTTGTGTGTGTAGCAACAAAATGAACGACGTGACTTTCTAACCATATATGATACGAAAAATTTAGATAACATATATCAATATATTAATATATAGTTTTACCATATAAATAATCGCATCAACAAATAATTAATGAAGCATTTTATTTTTGAAATCTCCTACGAGACACAGGCCCCCTGTGGTTTCAATTTCCACTTTTGGTGAAATCAAAGCTACTTTTCATCAATGATATATTATAATAATGTCAAGTGGGTTTTTCTTTTTAAGAGATATAGTTCCAGTTGCATTTAATTTCACCTTTTGGATATTAATTTGTTTTCATCTTCAATAATTCTGCATCTTTTCCTGGTTTCATACTCAAATTAATTAAGAACCCACTTATGTCGTGTGATCCGTACTTGTGGAAACTCACGAGAAAGGTTCGGTGAATGAAATGATAGGATCATGACCAAACAAACTGGAGCTGGTCCACTCACTTATATATTACCATAATATGACAAACCCAAAAGGGGTAGTTAAAGATGCTAAACTCCTGTCTTGATCCAATATATGACATTGAATTATGCCACCCTCGTAAATACTCATACATAAAGTGAAATGGTATAAAAGAAGATCTAAACTATTTAACCTGTGAGTATTGGGAATGCTTGATTTGTTCCTCATTTCATTCATCACATATATGCTTATGAATGTTTCATAATTTAGGCGGATTAGCCATGCTTAAATGATTCTAATTTGGAATTTAGAATTAAAAAAAAACAAAAAAAAGGTTACAGGTTATTTTTGTTGGGTTGGGCTCCCTTCCTATATGGAGAAAGGCTCAATATTTGAAGCCCATTTGAGTTTCACGTATTAAAGTGGAGAGAGCAAATTAGGATAATGGGAAAGGTCTTATTGAATGGAAAGAGCAGCCGTTTAGGGAGAGAAGAAGAAAGTCATTTTTATATGGGAAAATTACACACAGGTCTCATAGAAGACAATTAATTCTGAAAAAGTTCCTAAAAATCCCCAAATGCTTCCTAAGTCCCCAGAGACCTCAAAGCAAAAAATTAAAATTATGAAATTACCTACTTGCTCCCCTCCTAATTAATTTGAGTCTGAATATTTTGCCCTCCTCAAACCCTTGGCCCCTGCTCTATTTCTCATTCGGTTAACTGTCACTTGTTTGAAAAACCACTTCCCTGGGGAGTTCGTGTTGCGTCTGTCGTTGGCATCATGGGTTCATCGTTGGTTCTCTCCAAGAGAGTTCTCGTTCTACTCTTATTTTCTTCTTCGTTGTCTGAACAATTCCGTGGAAATTTGTTTTTACCATTCTCATTTTTTCATCTCCTGCAACCTGTGATTACCTCAACCTGTCGGCAAAGGGAACTACCGCAAGTGAGCACAACCCGGTGTGTCTCCATTATCTTCACTGTGCTCATATTGCCTAAACCCACCGGCATCAGTGACCCACCTTCCTGAAAAGCTTGCTCCAACGCTTTGAGAACGCCACACGGTGAGAATGTTAGATCTAACAACCATGATTTTTGCCTATGCTTTGTAATTTTTGCTTTTATATCTAGCTTTTAGTATTCCTGTGTTGATGGATGGCAATTTTTAGCTTTATTGTAGAAGTTTCTTCTAGGTTCCTTGTAAGGAAGTTTCGATTCCTTTTTTATATATATATATATATATTAAGGATAACATTTAGTTTATTGAGTTAGTATGTTATATGGGTAGAAGAAGCTAGATATCCTAGAGCTATCATAAAATTCATGAAAACACTGATACTTTAGAAGTAAGCTTTTACAGGTTATTGTATCTCATATTTTAAACATAAAAATATATGGTATATTGAAAGTAAAGTGGAATATAGTTGTCCTTTTTATTTTGCAAAAGATATTATTAGACTTTAGTAGAAAAGAAAATATGAAATAAAAATATGAAAGAAAGTCAAGCCTGAACTTCTCTATCTAATATGAACATCATAATTGGCTAAGATAGTGACAAGCAGTTGGAAACTTATAATGTGATGACAGTATTTATTTTCCTTTTTGTAGTTGAACAAAATGGCTAAAAAGAGTAAGAGCAAAGATGGACAAAGGCATAGGAACTTCTTAGGATATATACTATTTACTGAGGAATTTTATGAGAAGAATAAGAAGAAGTTCAAGTGTTTTGAAGAGGGTAGTAACTCTATGAAAAAAGCTTGGGGGAAGTTAATATAAGAGGAGAGAGAACAACATAGTGAAAGGGCTAAAGAAATAAGAGTCCCACCAAAAAGGAAGAATTATATTGTTCCGTTCTACACACAGTGTGCTCTGAGACAATTTATGGAAGTTTGCAAGTACTTAAAGAAAAGTGAAGATAAGATGGAAAGGCTGAAAAGAATTAGTTTTAATAAATTGGTTGAAATATGCTGCTCACAAATTTATAGAGATTTTTATGGTGAATTGATCCGTGTGTTTGACCTTGTAAGTAAGAAAATTTCAATTTGAGGGAAGATTCATGAAATTGGGGCTTGGAAATGTTAATCAATTGATGGGCCTACCATTTAAGGGGAAAGAAATTAAAATGAATATGGAGAATGAAGATGAAACATTTAAGAAATTAAGGAGTGACTACGGAAAAGCGCCATAGAAAACAATAGGAAGATGCTTGATTAAAGGAAAGAGGATGAAAAGTTTAAATTCCTTTTTGTTATATATGCGTTAGGAGTTCTCTTGTGTCTTGGCTCTAGTATATGGGTCAATGATAAAGTATTGAAGGCCATGGTGGCGACAAATGATAGTTTAGGACAGCATGATTGGAGCAGCTCTATTTTCAGAGAATTTTGCAACTAAATTGCAAAGTTCAAGAAAGGAAAAGCTTATGGGACAACAAATGTGGGAGGTTGCTTGTATGGGTATGATTCATTTACTTTGATCTTAGTTATATTGTTAATGTGTGATGTGCTATTATCTATGAGTGCTATGTATGTTGTAATTAGTTGCTCTGTATGTTGTCATTTACTACTCTGTATGTTGTCATTTGCTGGTATGGACATTGTCAAATGCTTATGTGTATGTTGTGATTGGCTCGTGTGAAGATTGTTATTGTCTTGTGTGCACGTTGACATTCGCCTCTATTGGTTTATCACTTACTGATATATATATATATATTGTAATTGGCTACTGTGTATGTTGTCAATGGCTTCTGTTGGTTTGTCACTTGCTAATATATATGTTGTAATTGGCTGTTATGCATGTTATTAGTGGCGTTTGTTGGTTTGTCACTTGCTTATGTATATGTTGTAATTGGTTGCTGTGCATGTCATTGGCCTCTGTTGGTTTGTCAGTCACTTATGTATAGGTTCTAATTAGCTACTGTTAATGGCACAAATGTAAGTTGTGATTGGCTTATGCGTAGGTTGTGACTGTATGCTGTGCATGTTGTCATTCGGTTAAGTGTAGGTTCTAATTGGCTTTTGTGCATGTTGGCAAAATGGAGGTTGTGATTGGATGCGGTGTAGGTTGTGACTGTATGTTGTGCATGTTGTCGTTTGATTAAGTGTGGGTTCTGATTGGCTTCTGTGGATGTTGTGAATGACTCAAATGTAGGTTGTGATTTGCTGCTGTGTAGGTTGCCATTGTATGTTGTGTATGCTATCCTTCAGTTAAGTACGGGTTGTGATTGGCTTTTGTGCATATTGTGAATGGCTCAAATGTAGGTTATGATTGGCTTATGTGTAGGTTATGACTGTATGCATAGCATGTTGTCATTGGTTAAGTGTGGGTTGTGATTGGCTTCTATGCATGTTGTGAATAGCAAAAATGTAGGTTGTCATTAGCTGCTGTATAGGTTGTGATTGGCCTGTGTGTGTGTTGTCAGTGGCCTCTCTGCATGTTGTGATTATTGTATAGCTAAGTTATCATTTACTTAATATTCAGATTTATTGCTTACAACACTTTCCTTTGGGAAAAGAAAAGGCTTCAAAAATGAGAATGCCATTATCAATGAGCAAGAGTTCATAGTGACATTATTACATGGTGTTACCAATGTCAGTGAGGCTTCATTTAGTGCATCCAATACAGAAATAAAGCTAACCCACCCGGTAAGTAAATAATATCGAGCTGATTTTGGTGCTATGTATAATTCGGAGTAATGATTACTTTAATTACGGTTATTTTATAGAAAATAAAGGGAATGTATGAAAGGTTGGTGACCATAGTTGAAAGGTTGATATCGACAATTAGAGAAGAGTTAGCTTCCCTCCAGTTGAGGTTGACGGATGAGAGTGACAAGGAAGATGTGGTGGAAGCAATAAGTAGTGAAGATGATGAAAAGAACTCAAGTGAAAATGAAGAAACTAGTCGAGATGGTAAAGGAAGCCTAAAAGATTCAATACATAAGGAAGAATAGAGTAAACCCAAAAAAGATGATAAGGAAGAGGAAAAAAATAGTTCGCTTGAAGAAGAAAGTAAATCTTAACATAAGGAGAAAGGAGAAGGGAGTGAACTAGAAAAAGATGATAAAAAAGAGGAGAAAAGTGCTCCACCTGAAGAAGAGTCAATCTTAACATGAATAGTGTTAGACCTTACTATTGGAACAACTTAGCATTTATTTGAAACCATTTTAGACCACATTGGATAGTCTAGGGCTCAAAACTCTCATTTAGGATGTTGAGGACTCTACTTTTGGGACTGTTCATTTGGTAAAATCCAGTTTTCTAATCCAACTTTGAAACATCATAACTTAATCTAGAAAAATCAAAATGGAGTGATTCAAAATTATGTGGAAATATCTTTGAATTATCTTTCAATAAAAAATAATATTAGAAATTAATTCCTTATGAGAAGTGCTAGATTTTTGTGAAAATTCAACTCTATCATTTTGGTAAAAACTCTTTTTCCAGCTTATGGACCTTAAATTTGAAAAATTATTAAAAATCGCAGAGTTGTCCATTTTTAACATGCTACCTATCAAATTGAAGCTTGAGATGTGATCTCTAAGCATACAAAATTTCACAGTTAAATTCATTCAAGATCTTAATCAAAATGCTGCTCCAAGTTGACGGTTTCCTTAGGGTTGCAGCACCAACCATACATACTTATATATAACCAAAATAGAATTGTTTTCTCATGGTTCACCACCACAATTACCCTTGAATTGGAAGCTTCCCTTTTTGATGATTCAGCCCCTAAAAGTTTGGATTATTTTGGGAGGGTGAGATTTTAATGAAATCCCAGTAGCAAGATCAATCAACCAAAACATTAACATGTATCAATTACAAGCATTCCAACCTTTTTGCTATTAGTAAGGAACTACTCTACCTCATACATGTAACACTCTAACGTGTAATAGCCAAGGTACTTAAACCAAGGAGTATAGCTACACAATCATCATCATCATCATCATTTAGCTCAACCACATAATAGTACATGAAATTACTTAGCCATCAATACAACACCTAACATTAAAGTTAATTAAATCTTACTACCTTAATCCAAAAGCTTCTATGATTCTTTGATCTTCTTTATCTCCTCCATAATTAATAAACCTTAACATCAAAAGCCATGAAAGGGGCAGCAACATTACCATCCAAACCATATCAAAAATCAATAACAAAACTCAATAAATTCTTAAGCCCTTTAAAGCTTCCCTCTTTGTTCCTTAATTTGTAGAGCTTGTTTTCTTAACCCTAAAAATTCTTCTTAGTTCATTCCTACATGATTTTTCATGTAGAATCCAAATATTGACTTGGAATTTTAAAAACACATATGCTCCCTATTGATCTTGATTTGGCCGAGAGGTAGTGATTATAGGCCTTTAATGTCTAATTTCATTTTAATGCATTTTAATGCTTATGGCTTAGGTTTATCCTACACAAAACTTCATTTTAAAGCCAATCGAAGCATCAAAACATGAAAAATCTCATCCTAGGGAAAAATCACTATTTGGCCAAAACATACATATGGGTTTCTTATCATGAAAAACTTCCAAACAACAACTTAAACCACTTGAAACAACCATGATTTAAAGTGTTCTACCAAGATTTATCAACCAAACTCCCTCCCTACACTAAAAGCATTTCGGCCAGCATCCAAAGAAAGGATAAATAGAATTTCCCAACCATCAAACTCAAGAGAATCAAGCAAAGAACAACATAGAATCAACTGCTAACCTTAACTCCAAGCTTACTTGATCCAAGATGGTTGTTTTCTTCTTGATTGCACTTGAAGATCACTCTTTTCCTCTTCTCCTTCCTCTTGGCCAAAACAAGCATCTGATTTTAGGGGAGGAAGAGCTCATATTAATGCTCAAAATATCTCAACTACCATCATTAATGAGATGCCAAGTGTCAATTGCCTACTCCTTCTTGTAACATTTCTCTTAATTAACTTAATCCAAATGTAATTAATTTTCAAAAGTCAAACACTTCTAAACTTAAGACTTGACACTTGGAAAGTTTAATTACTCTCTAATAGGGACTTGACAAGTGGCAACTTGTGGGCCAAGAAAAGTGCAAGACTCTAATTTATACTTTATTGGTGCACTTTTACTTCGGGTTTCATTTCTGTTCTATAATTACAATACTCTAGCCTCTATGATTATTTTCTATCATATCCATAACTTATTCTCCTCATTTTTCTCTTCCCAAACTGCCCTCTTAAGGTCAAACTCAATTTTTTATTAATTAAATAAAAAGGAAAACTATTTTCCTTCTCATTATTGATTTTTCCACTTATCCAAATAATTAGAAAAAATATTGGATGTCTGAGGGTCTCCTTTGAATCCCATAATCTCTTATAATTCCTTAGGACATCATAGAAAATTTTCTTGGGATTTTATTCTCCTTCCAAATGTTTATTTAAAATTTTCCAAATAAAAAGCCTCAAATTAGCCTAAATCACCCTTAAATTCCTTTGTAATTTTTTCAAGGGTAATTTGGTTATAAAACCAATTATATAACCTAATATAATTCTTAAGGAATATTATCCTTAGTTTTTTTAATTTTCTAAGACTTGAAAATATTTTTTCATAATTATTTTTGACCAATTTTCCTTAATTAGTCAAACTTTACACAATTGACTTGGAAAATCATAATAATTATTTTCCACCATAAATCTTCTATTTCTCCTTATCATTTTTGGCCCTTGAATATTTAGGAATATTTTTATTCCTAATTACTATATTACTGGATATGACAAAGAGAAAGGAGAAGGGAGTGACTTTAGATTAGAGGATGATAGAGCAGAACAAACTGAAGACAAGTCTTGTGATGCAGCAATAGAAGAGGATAAGAGGGAAGGTAATGATGAAGAGGGAAAGGATGAAATGAACAAGGAAGCACAACAGGAAATAGAAGTAAGAAGATCAACACAGGTGAGAAGCCGTGCAATCAAGTCTCCCTGGTTAAAATGAGGTGAAAAAAACCCATGGCAAGAGAAAAACTTGATGAGAAAGAAAAATTATTCCGGATGTTTACAACAAGATGTGATGAAGATGAAGGTGGAAAGTAAGTATTGGGACTAATCTAATTGGGACAACTGACCGACAATAATTTTAGACATAGAACTAAATTGCTTATTGTTTCTTTTTGTGTAGGTACATTGTAGAGATGTATGGGTACTTCCTGAGATGTGCTGAGCCTTGCTACCTACAAGATAGGACATTGATGAACAATAAGGTAAGACAGTTGTTTACATAGATAGAGAAGTAGTAATATCATTATGATTATTACTAATTGTTTGTGTTTGTGTTTGTGATATAATTCATGTCTATGGTGGCAAGAACTTTAGTGGGAGATGAGAAAGAGAACTACGGTCATGTCAGTAGGCACATATTTTCACCGAGTTCATGAAAACAATGGCTGCTAATCCTCTTAGGTGGAGAGCAGAGAACCATGAACATGAAATCTTGTCAGAGCACTTAGGATATAACATTGGAAACTGTGACTTCATATTTAGCCCCACCCTTTTCAATTACTATTGGTTTTGTTATGTGCTGGATGTGAGAACCATGGATTTCTATGCCCTTGATTCATTGGTTGATAATTTGACCATGTTGAGAATACAAAGAGAGGAAGAAGATGCAATCAAAATATGGAAGAAACCAAAGAGGAAGCAAGGGTTTAGGAAAGGATGGATAAATCCTAAGCAATTTATGGCAAGAGAGATTATATGCACAACTTTTCATTCATTCTATTACTTGTTAATGTGTTATGGTTGCTTGTCTGCTTAACTATCTTGGTTGTTAATGCCTGCTGATTACTTGTTATTGGCTATTATCAAGGTTGTTAATGCTTCCTCATAACTTGTCATTCACTATTGTCAAACCTGTTTCTTTTTTTGTTTCTTTTTTCTAGAAAGATTGTTTCTACCAATTACTTCATGCAGCGAAGCTAGTACTATTTAAGGAAGAGGACAAAATTGACAAGGATGTCACATGGGCAAAAGTTTATGTGCAATTTGACACGTGATTTGTTGTTGTGCACTGCAAGTTTGCATGTTTGAGCTTTTGGGAGCTAATGTTCATTGACTAAAGTACTAGTTTTTCCTTTATAGGGACTCTTGTGGGGTTCATGTTTTGAGTTAGTTACAAATATGGGATGATGGGGAGCATGGTGATAACGGCTACACAATGCCTAAGTACTCCCCTCAAGAAATCCATGACTTGAAGGTTGGGTGCTTATAGTAGCTCGTAACTCATCGAAACAACTTGCATGGTGATCAAGTGTTGCTTTTGCTATGAGAAAACCAACAAAGCAAGATGAAGAAATAAATGACGAGCATAGATTGTATTTAGCTTTTCTTAGTTGATAGCATAATGATAGCTGAATATAAAGTTCGGATTTCGTTTCATTATTTGACTATGTAATGACAGCTAGATGTTAAGATAAGTTAATGTGTATTGACATCCTTTACTGGTTATGAAGTTTTTGTAATGGCATTCTTGTGTCTTGACAAGACAGGAAATTCCTCTTTGCCATATCTATTTACAACCTCAATAGGGTTACTGACAACCCGAATACAAGGGGTTAACAACCTGAGCAATGCCCCTGATAACTCACTCTGTGGGGTACCACAACTTCTAAATAGATTATATTGTCAGCACATATAACGACCTTAACAAAAACAATTGGGAGCATTTTGAAGTCATTAACAACTTTAACTGTCAGTAATAGGATTACACCAAATTTTTACTGCATAAGTTTATTTACAACTTCAACAGGGGTTGTTCACAACCCGAACACAAGTGGTTAACAACCTAGGCAGTGCCCCTGACAACTCACCCTGTGGAGTACCATAGCTTCTAAATAGATTGTATTGTCAGCAAATATAACAATCTTAACCCAAAAAAAATTGGGAGCATTTTGAAGTCATTAATAGCTTCAACCGTCAGCAATAGGATTACACCAGATTTTTACTACATAAATTCTTTTACAATCTCAACGAGGGTTGTTCACAACCCGAACACAAGTGGTTAACAACTTGGGAAGTGCCCTTGATAACTTTATATCAGTAACATAATTCAGACTGTTAATGACAACCTCCATGGAATCTGGTGACAAGTCCATTACAACATATTCACAACTACATCAAAATACAGATATGATCTTATACCAGATTACAACCATATGTCATTTACCACTTGATATATATATGTACAATGTAACTACACCAAATTGACAACCTATTCAAAAAAACACACTGGTTGCATGTACGGATAATGACGAACAACTTGAGATGTAGGTTATGACATTTATAAAACAATTCTGTCACAAGCATTCATAAAAAGGAATATAAACAAGCCACCAATAAAGCTCAACCTAGATTGGGATTCTGGCAAGTCTTCACAGTGTGGCTTGGCTCATGGCATCTTCCACAGTGGTAAATTTTTTTGTTTTGAAATTGAGATTCAATCCCTTTTTTCTTTGGCCTCCTTGAGGGTCTTTTAGTGATTGGTGACTGCAAAAATATTCTTGTCATCATCTATGTAACAATGAGAGCTTCAGGATGTGGATAATCATGTGCTATAATTGGCCTCATACTACTTGCATATATCTTCTCCTAGGCTGACAACTTATAGCAATTATCTACAAATTCATAAACACTACGTGAAGTAGCTTTACCACTGCACATACATGAACACAAGGTACTCCGCTCATTTGCCATACTAAGCAAGTATATTTGTATGTCGTGTGATCAACAATGACACAAATTATTCCAGTAGGAGATCTAGTATGAACTTGAAATCGATTATCTCCATAATATACATTATGTATATTCTCCACTCTTGCTACTTTTTCTTACAACTTGGACTCAATATTTGGCCCAACATCATTTGTCTAATTTCCTATTGCCATTTTGCTTGCAACCATCTTCTTTGATAATTTCTCTATATGCTTATATATGAGAACTGACATATTGTGCTTCCTCTCCTTCAAAATCCAGGTATTAAATGACTTGCAACATTAGTGGTGATGTTATCCCATCGTTTAAATAGAAATTTGCTTAAAGCCCATCAATCTACATCCCCTTGAGTCTCAACCCAATAAGCTAATTATGGCCAAAATGATCTAAGTGTTCCTATTGTAGCAATATATTCATCCTCAATCCTTGCGTAGGCAATTCCATCCAGCATTTTCAATGAGACCTCCTTTGAAGTACCTGAAACTCATCTCCTGCCTCGGTTAATTTTTAAATAATGTGCACTAAAATTTTTTTTCACATGCCTGTAGCAAAAGGCATGTCTCTCACCACCAAATACTGTCCACACCGCACCTATAATGGCATTAGTCCAATCTGAAACAATCATTGTTTCCACTCATCTTGTGATATCTTTGACATTCTGGAGAAACCAAGCCTAATCATCATATGTCTCCCTATTGGCTATAGCATATGCTAATGGAAATAGTTTATTGTCTGCATCATATGCATTAGCTGAAATCAATGTCCCCTATAAGGACCACTTAACTGACATCCGTCTATATAGAGTATATTTTGACACCCTTCTAAAAATCCATTAATTGAGCATCTATAAGCAATGAACACCTTCTCAAATCTGTTACTATCCACTTCCTATCAAGCAATTGTGTTTGGATCAGTTTCAATAAGCCTTTTATAAATCCAAGGAATCACCATGTATGAATCCTGTACACGACCATGTATTTCTCTCAATGCTCTTTCTCTACCCATGTATGCTTGACTACAATTCAGTCGCACCCCATATTCTCTATACAAATCTCTTCTAATTTTATTAGCATTATTGTCTATATTACACCTCAAAGAATCTATCATGATTGATGATGTTAAGTTTGACCTTCCAGAGTGAGATACAACCAAGCTATTCTACGCACAATGCACGTGCTCATTTCTTAATGTTTTTATTATTAAGAACTCAAAATCTTGTCTTTGTCCCATTGAGTATGCACCTGTGTCCATGGGCCATACCCTTCGCCATACACTTCACAATGATCTTTAGGTGATTGTTCTTCACAAATTTGTATAAAACTTCTCAGCAATGTCGTACCTATATAGTGCTTGCCTAAGGGCTACTACATTAAGAAAAATTTATCCTTCTCCAATAACCAAACCCTTCCACTTTGTTGAATTCATTTTCTGAATTGGGGTTGGCATCATTTTGAACCACATGGCAATGATAGTAGGTCTTTACTAACCACATTGGATGGAGACATGGACAATGCATTTGAACCTCCTAACAAGTCATCCATCCTACATAATAGGACAGGTCATGGGGTCATTAATAACAACCTTCGATCACTGTAATAACAACTTATGCACAACAATTGATAATAGCCAACATTACTTCAAAATTTAAATAATACAACTTATACATGTTGTGTAACATCCAAATTTTTAGGCCTAGAAGTACCAGAAATAGCCTGGATTGAATAGGCTACTAGACCCCTTTTGAGTAGAAGTCCCAAAGATGAGAAAGGAAGGCAAAGCAGTTTCAGAGACTAAACTGCAAAGTAAAAGTTTTAAGGGGCTAAAGTGTAATCAAAATTAGAGGTTCCAGTAAAGTCTCAAAGGCCCAGAGAGAGAAAAGAGGCTAGATACATGCCAAAGGTTAAGTTAGAAACCTCAAAGAGAAGATTATATGAAGGTAAGTCCAAGTAGGGACTAAACCGTAAATTCAGAAAGTTATGACCAACAGGGATAAAAATAGAAGAGTATACAGAGAATTCCAAGAAAATCCTAGAAAATGAGAAATAATATTCTAAGGCTCTTCTGTGAAGAGAAAAGACGAAAATACCCCTGAGGCAGCTTAAATGGAATTTATGAGGTTATTACCAGTAAAAAGTATACCATTTGAGGTAATTATTTAAAATAGCAAGAGACCTCAAAAATGTATACAAAAATGAGACCAAATGGTTGAAAGGTTGTACTAATTTATAA